GCCCGCCCCGGGGAGGCGCCCCCACGCCACAGGGCATCCGGAGCGAGGCCGCTGCCACCGGGGCGTGTGTTCTGCAAGGGGCTCGGTTCTGCTTAAGAGGGTGGCTCGCCAGGCCCGGTTCGAGGGGGCTTTTGGTGGCCTTTTGTCAGGAAACTTTTAATCACGCAGAATTTAGCCACTAATCGGCCCGACTTACGGAAAGGGCACGGAGCCCAACCTTCCGTTTTCAACACCCGCGCTGGTGTTTGCTGGAAATTTGCCACCGAGTTTCGGCTCGAGCTGAAGGTTACCAGGATTTATCATTGTTTCCCCAGGATGTTTAACCCTCATGGGCGCCTCTTCTTTCATTTAAAATACTTGAAAGGGAAAAAAAGAAAATTCTTGTAAGCGCTTTGGCTGTTTTGTTTAAGAAATTTGTTCCATCTCGTAGGGTTTTGAAAGCCAGGAATATTTGTGACATAGGGAGGAGGGAGTTTGGGGGACAGAAAGCAGCTGTGTACCGGGAAATAGTCCGCATCGGGCAGAAATATCACAGCCGATACATGTCCTTTACTAGTGTCCGTGTCTGTGGTTAATTGCTTTAAAAATGTGGGGTGGGAAAGCACAACTGTACATGGTGATAACAAACCTGCACCGAGGAGTCCCCAACAATCCAACACAAGCGCTGAAAATGTGTCCTTTATGACGGAAATAATTGTTCCAAAATTATGACACCACCTACCCAAATAGCATGTCCCCTCCCCCCCAAATACCTGAAGAGTAGTTACCAATTGGCTGCATTTAGAGTTGTCTTTAATAAAGAGAAAACTGCACAGCTTTTGTTAATGAAATGCACCTTCCCAGATCACTGTCAGCTTGGTGTTCCTCTCGCTGTTTTAAATGTCCAGTTCTTCAGAGGCACATAATCTATAATTCCTAATCGTCATAAACACATCATTTTAGTCACCTTATTTTCATTGCATGCATTTTCTTAATTACTGTACAACTGAAACAGACATCGAGTTATGCTGTGTACAGGTCTTTATTCCACAGTATAATCTGAGATACCTTTTTCAAACAAATTAAGTGAATTTTAAAGAAAAGAAAACAAGGG